GCAGCCCTGCCAGGTGCCTTGTGTATCTGAAATGGTGTAGATAGTGTGCTGTTCACGTAGACTTGTGCGGACGGTCCATTGTATAGAGCTTCTATCCACCTCCTCATGTTCGGTCCTAGTCCTAGGTGTTGTAGCGTTGCGAAGAGGAAGGTCCAATCTACCCTGTCCGTGGAGATCAGTAGTGCGGGTGTCTGTTTGCTCTTGGCCGTCTGTATCAAGTTAATTACTTTGGTGGTGTTGTCTCTGGCTTCTCTATTGCTGATGAGCCCTACCTGGTCTGTGTGGATCAATTGTGGCAGGGTTGGTTGGAGTCGGAGTGCCAGAACCTTCGTGAATAGTTTCAGGTCGACGTTCAACAGGGAGATTGGCCTGTATCTCGGGCAAGCCGTGGGGTGGGGTCTTTGCCTTCTTTGGGTAGCACCACTATGTGCCCTCTCAGGGTGTTGTGGTCGAGGGTCCCCCTTTTCTCAGTTCGTTAAAAATGTTCAGTAGGTGTGGGATCTGTGATTCGCGGTATGTTCTGTAGTATTTGATTGTGAAGCCGTCCGGGCCTGGACTTTTCCCATTTTTGTCCATTTTCAGGGCCTGTGATATTTCTTCCGCTGTGATCGGCTCCTCCATGGCGTCGGCCGTGTCTGTGTCCATCGTGTTGGTGAAGTATTTGGTGAGGTACTTGTTTCGTTTTTGGGTCTTGGTGGTGTCCTGACTATGGAGGTTGTATAGTGCTTCATAGTAAGTGCGGAATCCTTCTGCTATTGATTTCAGTGTGTTGTGGGTGGTACCATTATGTTTGATCTCAGATATGAAGCTTTTTTGTCTGATTTTCCTCATGGCTCTCGCTAGTAATTTCCCACTTTTGTTACCGTATTGGTAGAAAGTCTTCTGTGATTGCATGATTTGAAATGCGATTTTCTGAGATAGGTGGGAGTTGAGTTTTGCCCTGGGAAGGAGTCCGGCGTGCTGTTTGTTTGGAAGAAATGGTCTATGTGTGTTTTCACCTCTTGTTGAATTAGGGGGTCTTCTAGTATTCGTTCAGTCTCCAATTCCAGTGTTTCTGGAATGGAGTTGGTGAGGTGAGTGTGATGATGACCGGGGCATGGTCCGACCAGGTCATGGGGGTTATCGTTGCTGTAAGGAGGTCGTCCAGGTGGCGGTGCTGGAGGAACAGATAGTCAATTCGCAAATATGAGTTGTGGGGGGGGAGAAGAAGGTGTAATCCTTCTCTTGGTGGTGTGGGGCACGCCAGCAATCTGACAGCTGGAGTTCGTGTAGAGTGGCTTTCATGCCTCAGAGGACATGGCTCGGGAGGGATGAGTGGCCTGTTGAGGTGTCCAGTTTAGGTTCTAGCAGTGCATTGAAGTCTCCTCCAAGGATTAATTTGCCGTCACTGAAGGAGTCTAGCAATGCGAGGGTTTTTCTCTAGGAAGGATTTTTGTCCTTTGTTCGGGAGGTATAAGTTGGCGAACGTGAATCGCGTGTTGTATATAGTACCTTTCAGGAAGAGAAATCTGCCTCCTGGGTCCACGAGCTCCTCTTCTTTGCGGAACAGTATGTAACGCCTTTGGTCTTGGAGTCTGGATTGGTGGCATGGAAGCTTAGTGGGTAGTGTTTATTTGAGAATCTGGGGTATTTGGCTGTTTGAAAGTGCGTTTCTTGGAAGAACGCAGTGGAGATGGGCAGGGCGTTCACTTCTTTCAGTGCCCTTGCTCGTTTCTGTGGGGAGTTGAGTCCTTTGGCGTTGATTGTGTAGAGTCTGAGGTCCAATTGGGGTGTCTTCTCGTGTCTGTGGGGGGGTGTAGCCGGGGAGGAGCCATGTTTGAGCAAGCGGGCGTGTGGGCCAGCCCCGATGCCCTGTGTTCAGGGGGCTGGGGGCGTGTGGTCTGGGGGGTCTCTCACGTGCATCCGGCGGGCCCCCTCTGGTGGTCTCCGCCGAGGGCACGTGGGGGAGCGTTGTGTGTTGGTGCGGGAGTGTTGCGTGTGTTAAGTGTGTGTGCTGAGTGTTAAGAGGTCTTGAGTGCTGATTGTTTAGTGTGGAATGTTTCTCCCTGGCTGTCTTTCCTTACTGTGTTCGGGATAGGGGTTAGGGGGGTGGTTGGGGCGTCGGGTAGTCGTGGGTTGGTCGGAGTTCCGAGTGGCTTTTGCTAGGTATTTCCCTTTGTCTGTTGCTCTCTGTGGCTGCAGAAGCTGCAGTTGTGTTGTGTGCATGGGAGGGTTAGAGTGAGTTTGGGGTGGTCTGGATCTTGGTCATCCAATGTGTAATGTCTCCCTTTGTCTGTGTACCTCTGCGTCGAGAGTGGGGACAGTAGAGACGGTAAAAAGGGGTGGTCTGCATACAGGGTGGGGGCTCATGTGGGGGTTGCGGGTCCAGTGAGCTCGCCCTGTGGGAGGGCAGTAACCCGTGGGGGTGTGGGTGGCAAGTCTCTGCACTCTGGCAAAGTCAGTGAGTTGTCGGTTCGAACAAGTGTTGGAAGTGTCCGAGCCCTGCCGTCAGGGCGCATACAGTTAGTATAGAGACCTTAAGTAGCCAGTAGTAACATAATTTGTGCAACAATGGTTGCATTTAACCTTAACATTTAGCAATTAGTAACCATTTATCTAGGCAGTGTCAGTATAAACATTTAGCGATAAAGATCCATGTTAACCTTAACATTTAGCAATTAGTAACCATTTATCTAGGCATCGTTAGTTTAAACATTTAGTTATGCAGACCCGTTTCCGCCTTAACATGTAGCAATCAGTTACCATTTATCTAGGCTTTGTCAGTATAAACATTGAGCGATATAGATCCATGGTAACCTTAACATTTAACAAATAGTAACCATTTATCTAGGCATTGTCAATCTAAACGTTTGGTTATGCAAACCGTGTCATCCTTAAACTTTAGCAATCAGTTACCCTTTATCTAGGCATTGTCAGTATAAACATTTAGTGATAAAGATCCGTGTTAAACCTTGTGACGAAGTGCCCTTCGCCACTTGGTCCTGGAGAGGCCTACTTGCCAGCCTCCTCCCCTGTGACTATGACTCTTTCATGTATCTGGCTTTAAAGCCCCTAGTCTACCTTCAGACAGACTATTTATGTAGGCTGCTTTATTTATCTTATGTTTTAGTCACCCTGTACCCATTATAGGTGCAGGGTGTGTGTAATGTAATTGTTTATAGTGTGTGTGTGTGTGTACTGTGTAATGTATTGCCTGCTCTCTTGTATTGCTGAGGTTTGCTACCAACTAGGTGGGTTTGGCTATGGAGCTTGTCTAGTGCCCTCTGTTGGTAGCAATAGCAATATGCACTACCTGAATTGCAAGACTGGTTAATTTGCATATTCGGGTAGATTTGCATATTGCTAATTCTGCAGGCAGGTGAGATATTTACTGTTAAATATTGTCTCCCCCCACCCCTTTAAAAATGTACCATTGTGTTGTGATAAGTCACTGTGTGTTGCTTAATATGGTTTGACTGTTTGTGATTTTATTGAGGTTTCACAAAAATGTTATTGTGGTGACCCTATTGGCTGGTCCCAAGGGAAATAAAGGTTTTGACAGTTTTTCTTGATCCCTCTAAATGTAGCCTTGTCTTGTTATTGGAGGGAGCTGTTATAATCACACTGGGGATTGCTATGCTCTGCATGCTCCCCTGAGCTTGAGTCACTTAGCTCTTTTAAGAGCTTGTTCCTGACACGCTCTCCTTGGAGGAGGGGTCTTCACCACACAGTCCTGGATGCTGGAGGTTCATACAGGGTGGAAGGAAGAGTTCTTTCCCACACAGTCCTGGAGGACAGAAGCTGATCCAGGGTGGAAGAAAGATGGCGAGACTCCAGTCAAGATACAGCGGTTGCGGAGTCTGTGGTGGTTGTGGTGTCTGCTGCAGCGCTTGGAGTCCTCAGGAAGCGCTAGGAGCATCCGTCAACGGAGGGTACTCAGTCGGAGTACAAGGAGCTCTGTTACATACCTTAACATTTAGCGAGCAGTAACCCTTTATCTGGGCTTTGACCTTTCAAGCCGTTAGTGAAAAAGACCCGTGGCGGGAGTCACCAGTCATGGCACCGTTTTCATGTGTCCCCTTCCTGTAATGTGGGCCCGTTGGGTCGGTAGTGGGTCGAGGTCTCAGGGTTTGGTCGAGGGAGGGGTTATGGTGGGTGAGTGGGTTTGGGCTCCTGGTGTCCTACTTTGGGGACTGGTGGCAGCTCAGGTGGTGTAACCATGTGTACGGGCCAGGGTTAAGTCAGGGTGGTCTGGCCATTGGTTTTGAGCGGTGGATTGTCCAGTTTGTTAAATGCCGTGGGAGTCACCTGCGGGGGGGGGGGTGCATCTGTCGACAATCTAAGTCTCAGTGGGCGGATATCGTCAGAGAGTCGTGGGGTTGCTGTCATGGTCTCTGTTAGCCCTGTCAAGCGTTGTGGTGTGGGTGTCAGTCAATAGTCTCAGAGGGTAGGGGACTTTCTCAGTGGGTCGTGGGGTTGCTGTCGGTGTTCCCTGCCAAGCAATGTGGTCCCTCCCCCCCCTTCTGCTGATGCCCTCCCCGCAAATGGTCCAATGTAGAGAGGGCAAGCTACAGAGCATTGCAGTTATACGATACCACGTCCGTGTGGTGGGGAGCTCCGAGGGTCTGCGTTGGTGTGTGGCAGTTCCATCAGTTCTGGAAGAGAAGAGACCCTTTCAAATCCGGCATTTCTAAGCTTTGGTGTATAGGGGGAAAGTGGAGGGAAAAAAAAACCACACAATTCCCGTGGTATGGACCACGTAGTCCCATTTGTTAGGCTGTCGAAGTCTCTGCATAGTTTATGGGAGCCATATAGGCACAGGCGGCCTTCTCGCTGTTGGAGGTGCCGTGTGGGAGGGAGAAAGAGATGATCTGTGGTAGTGTCAGCGTAGTCGTGTCCTGTCTTGCGTGGGTCATGGCGGCCATTGCGGGTTCCTTTCCAAGGAGTAGGGTGCACTGGGTGGTTTGCGGGGCATCTCTTGCGTTGCCCATCTGGTGTGCCTGCCACGGGGGCTCTGTGTATTACTCCTCATGGGCGCCCTGGTGGGGTGGTATTGTATCCCCGACCAGCCCGTCCGCTCCCAACGCACGGGCCACCGGTCTGCCCATATATCTTTCATTGAGGGGGCAATCAGTCCAGTCTCTTACCGGTGTGGCTGGCAGTCCCAAGGTGTCCAGGAAGATGGGAACATCCGATGGGAGCCGTATTGTGGCTTCTATGTTGTCTTTGCGTGCCGTGAGCGCAAACGGGAAGTGCCACCTGTACCTTATCTGGTGCTCCTGGAGTAATGTGGTGATAGGGCGGAGGGCCCTGCGGGTTTGTAGGGTTTGATGGGAGAGGTCGTTGTACAACTCCACAGTCTGGCCCTTGTACCGCCAGGATCTTTCCGTCCTTGCTTCTTTCATGATATCTTCCTTTAGCTGAGTGTCTTGAATGTAGCAGATGACATCTCGCGGTGGGGCTGATGGAGGTGGCTTTGGGCGGAGGGCACGGTGTACCTTATCTATATACAGAGGTGCTTCTGGGGGTCTGTGCAGGATCAGGTTAAACAGCGGGGTCAGTATCTCCTTTAGGTTTTCTGGGCCTATTGGTTCGCGTCCTCGTATTCTAATATTGTTCCTGCGGCTCCTGTTATCCAGATCTTCTACATGGAGCCGCAGGTCAGTGAGTTGCCTGTCATAGGAGTGATTGGGGTGATGTAACTGCATTGTGGGGCCTGCATTTTCCAGCGCCGTGACTCTTCCCTCCAAATCCTGCAAGGAAGTGCGCAAGGAGGCGATCTCTGTTCTGAGGGTTGTTTTAACCTCCTGCACTATTGATTGGAGGTCTTCTTTTTTTGGCAGGGAGGTGAACAGTGCATACCAATCCGGTTGTGACACTTATTTTAATTGGAACTCAACTGCAGAATTTTCTAATTGCAGTAACTGTTAGTTTCACCTCCTTTTATATTGAAATGGAGTAGTTACTGTCACTTTAATTACACATGTAGGTTGTTAATTGTGAGTAACTATAAGAATCTGTTGATTTGCAGAAGCCACTTAAATTCCCTTTTTTGGAAATAATGCAGAGTTAGATTCCAGATTAATTTAAGAAGGAATTTTTATAATAAAGATTATAAATGAAGCAGGAGAAGTTGTAATTATAATTGAGTTGATTATTGGAGGAAGAGTTAGCGTTATTAGCAGATCCTTATGAATAAGGAGCATAAATTGAGAGAATGACACAGTTAATTGTCTATGATTTGTAACAGAGTGTGGTTTGATTGGAGAAAAGTTACTTAACTTAAAAGGCAAGTTCTGGAACTGAAGGGTTAATTTCACCCGATGGGTTGAGAAGGTAGAAGTCCGTTTAGCAAGCCGTGGTCTAGGAGTGGAGAGAGTGGAAGTCCGTTTAGCAAGCCGTGGTCTAGGAGTGGAGAGAGTGGAAGTCCGTTTTAGCAAGCCGGGTCTGGGAGTGGAGAAGGTAGGAGTCCGTTTTAGCAAGCCGGGTCTGGGAGTGGAGAAGGTAGCAGTCCGTTTTAGCAAGCCGAGGTCTGATACAGGCAGGACGGGGTAAAGCAGCTGATCACTTTTTTCAGGTACCTGTGCAATAATCCAGCGTTTTGAATCTGGCGCGGTCTCCCTAAGTGTCGTGGAGGCACCGCGTCAGAGAAAGGGGCGGAGCTAAGCGCAGTGAACCCGGAAGTGGGTTCTTACGACGGAATGTATGTCAGGCTATACCTGACACTGGTGTGGGATTCCCCTGATCATGGGGGCCGGCGGCAATGAGCAGGCTGTCCTCGGAAACAGTTGTTCCTGGTGAGAAGGGTGCCATGTTGGATGCTGGACCCAGGTAAGTGACATAATGCATTTTTAACCGAGTTTTAACAAGTTTGTTCTCCTGGCTCCATAGTTTCCTTCTAACAAAAAATCATGAGAAAGTAACTGTGCAGCAAGCAGCCTCCCACTACAGCTCCTGCAGTGTTTAACCCCTTAAGTACCAACCTTCTGGAATAAAAGGGAATCATGACATGTCACACATGTCATGTGTCCTTAAGGGGTTAAATCCACAAACAAGCAAAAAGAATGAAGCTCTGCGGAACCAGAATTATTTGTGCACACCAAGGTGCTACCCAAGTTTAATGAAGGACAAACTTAATACAGCAAACGTTTTTGGCCCGAAACGTTGCTGTATTACATTTGCCCTTCATTAAACTTGGTTGTGCACAAATAATTCTGGTTCCGCAGACCTCTTTTCTTTTTGATTGTTTGAAGAGATCTGCAGCTTTTTCAAGATGTTTTTAAATACACCGCAATGTTAAAATGCATAATTAAATGCATGCTTTCTTCATTGGGGGGTATATCTACAGTGATTTTTTTATGTTACTATTTTTTATTTGGGCAGTGGGGTATACCTTCCTATTTCTCTCTCCTCTTGTTCCCTAGTTCCGTCACGTATAGAACGCTTCTCTTACTAAGCATTCTCCTATTGCCCACTGGGTTCTGCCCATTCATTAGCGGCCATATTAGCCATGTACGCTATTCTAAAGCTATTCGCAGATGCAAGCTTTTGGTGGTCGTTTTGAATTTCGTCTTGCAAGATCCGAGATGGCCATTGCATTTCTCTGAATCTCGGTACAGAAGACGGAGTTCCAGTTCTCTGGTGCCTAGTCTATGACCTTGGAGTTCCTACCTTCAACTCAGTCAGCTGTATACTTACTCAGCAAGGGGCCGGGTACAGGTTAGTGACGGTCGGTTAGGTTGTACCTAGTACTCAAGCCTGGGGTGAGCCCCCATTGTAGTGCTGCAGGTTGGTCGCCACTGGACCATTTGCTGAAGTTTATGCACTTCTGGATACAGAAGTTTCTGGACAAGGAGATCCGCAAGAGGATGAGAACTGAGTGCCCATGCCCTTCACTACCAGACAAGGTGGCCTATACACCAGAGTTTGTCCAACTCAAGTTATCATTTATGGCCAGAGGTGGCAAGGACAAATTTAAAGGGGTAGAACTGGGGAGTGCAGGATAAGCTCTTGGATGCAATTGGGCCACTAGCCCATTAATGTACTTAACGAATTACTCCTATTCTTTATCTGAAATGCGGATATGGTGCGCGAATGGCACATGACATCCATGAATGAACCAAACGTTGTTCTTGTTTAATGGGCAATGCTAATGTGGCCTTCTCTTCAGAGAGACACCAGGCAGCACTCTTCCATGTAGATGGGAAGCTGCCGGATCTTGGGGCCAAAAAGTTAGGCCCACAGGCACAAGGTAAGCAGTTTGGAGAGGCATTTGTAAAAGAACTTAACAAGCATGTCAACATCTTTACATCCTTGAATAAAGCGCAATCCCCAATGAGGAAAGTCTTTCGAAGCAACCCCTGCAGTGGGTCGTGCTGCCAGCTGCTTCTGTCCATCAGGCCCCCGCACCTCACGCCCACAACCATTTTTTTCAGCAACATGTTTCTTGTGAGGAAGAAGACAGGAGAATTTTGTCCGATCATCAATTTGAGAGAGTTAAACGCCTATGTTGTTTACCGCCAAAATGGAAGGCATTCAGCTTTTGGGAGACCTACTTCAATAGTGTGATTGGTTCACTCGCCTCAACCCCAAAAATGCGGAATTCTCAGTACGAAAATAGTCACCCTTTCCTTCGGTTCCTATGGCAGGGAGCTCCATGGTAATGTACTTGCTTCCCGATTGGAGTAAGCTCAGCACCTGCTTTATGAAGGTCCTAAAACTGGTGGTTGCCCACCTCAGGGCGCAAGGCAAAAGATGTATCATATACCTCGACGACATCCTACTTTTTTGCGTTTGCGGCTAATTTGACCACGAATTAACCCATTCGGCGGTCTTAAGAGGCTTAACCCAGTGGTCAATAGAAGCACTGAAGAGACGCGTTCTGTGCGCGAATTAACCCATTCGGGTGTGTTTATGGACGGCCGTTTGAAGCGGAGCATAAGAAACCCAGTGGGCAATAGGAGCACTGAACGCTAAAATGGGTTTGATGTGCTGTACACCTGCATGAGGCTGCAGACGCGCAAACATAAAGAGAGATTGATGCGCCGCCGCCGTGTGCTGAGCGCGTTTGGTGCAGTGAATGAGCACACAGGAGCGGCGATTGTAACAACTCCAAGAGGCGGGGTGAACAATGGCCGAAACCACCCGGGAAACCTAGCACACAGGAGCCAGGACAGGAGGGTAAGTGGATTTGGGGGACAAGGTGTGAGAGAATAGGAAAGGACCGGGCACCCTAGGTCTCTACCTGAATTGGCCCTTAAGGCCAACCACAGTGATAACCCTGCAAATCACAACCCACAGTAGCCCAGTTAAGGGAGAGTTCCTAAAATACAACAGAAATAGATATTACAGTGCTCCCGGTGCAGTGTGTACTGGGATATTACAGAGCAGAGCTGGCTCTAGACTTTATGAGGCGAAACTCAAACATGAGGCCCCACTAACAAAAAAGTGAAAAAAAATAGAGTTGCAATACATGCACACTGTCACATATACACATTGATGCACAGTTTACCTGTGTATGTGCCTGAGAGTGTGTCTGACAGAGAGTATCCTTGTGTGTGTGAATGTATGTCTCTGTGAGCATGTTTGCATTTTTGTAGCTGCTTGAAGTGTGTTGTATGTATGGGGGGGGTGATGGTGTGGGGGGTAATGGTGTGAGTGGGGTGATGGTGAGAGGCGGGTGATGGTGAGAGGG